GCCCAGCGGGGAACGAAATGAGGCAATAGCGGCCACATAGACTTTCAGTGTTGATGGCAGAGATCCACTATCCAGTCTGTACTGTAGAAAACGCAGCACATCCGACACGGAGCAAGCAGCCGGGTCGATATGAACATCATGGCACCATTTCACAAACACTCCCCATTTCAGAGCATACAAACGCCTCGTGGAGGGTGCCCGTGCCTCCGAGAGTGTGTCGAGCACACGAGAATGCAGAGCATTCAGCTCCTCTGATATCCCCGAAGCAGCCACACATGAAGGCTCCCGTGAGGGCTCCGGCCTCTGCTGCCTGCAGGAGCCTCGCCTGAAAAACCTGCAGCACTGCCATGGCGTGCAGCGCGGAAGAACTCCTGACTCTCCGAGAGACGCGCCACTGCGTTTGTGCAGAGATAGTGAGTACTGAGTGTGAATAATGTACACGATGTGCTGCTTGCACTATACCTTCAGCTCCCACCACGTGTGTGTGTGTGTGTTTGAACTGGCAGCTGCAGTGCGGTCACGTGAAGATGAGGCGCTCGTGTCCTCACTAACTTTTTTGTTTCATTTTTGTTAGTCTTTAGAACAACGAACATACAAGGGCAATAACAAACCACATCAAAAAATATAATAAACAAAGACAATAAAAAAACTAAAATGGAAAAAGCAATAAGATAATCGCATGTCCATAACCAGCACAAATAGTTAAAACTATTCAAATAATTGATTTAAGTCTTTATAATAATTTACAGGGTTTTTTCCCTGTTTGTTTCTTTTGATAGTGGCCTATTTCCATTTTAATATATATATATATATATATATTTATTTATTTTTAAATTACCTCTTCTTGACCTCTTCACGTTTTCTTTCTTAAAACATTTTTATTCATTGGCATTTAATTCGGTTTGTGAGCTGTGGTTTTTCTTTTTGTCTTTGCTGTTTTGTTTTTCTAATCAGTAACGTACAATGCTGTGTACAGTACCTTATTGTTGACCCTTTATGTACAGCTCTTTGGTCCACTACTGTTGTTTTTAAATGCGCTCTAGAAATGAACTAAACTTGGAACTTTCTCCCCCAGGCTGGACGGTAAGCACGTTGTCTTCGGACAGGTTGTGGAGGGCTTGGACGTCATCAAGAAAGTGGAGGGCTACGGTTCCAGAAGTGGAAAGACCAGTGCCAAGATCATCGTCACTGACTGTGGCCAGCTGTAAAGGCCTCCACCCAAACCTTAGTCTAGTTACCCCTCAGTGCTCCCTTTCACAAATCCTGCCGCTAACCGCAACATTCCTGTCCAAGATCTACAACCCCTCCCTATTAGTCCTGTAGGCCTATAATTTGTGTATCAAAATCTGAAAATAAAGGGGAACAATGACGTGAAACTTCTTGAAGCTTATTTTTGTGTGTTTTATGTTGCCTCCGGTTAATGTAAGTCCCGTTCAGTGAGCTCTTTAATTTTGATCTCGCTCTTTTCAGAGAACTTGCTGATCCGGCTCTTAAATCTGTCTGAATTTCTTCACTGATCCTCTAGGCAATTCAGCTCCCTCAGTGAATCCAGTCAGAGCAGTTCCAGCTAACAGACTTGCCCTCCAGGGAACTTTAAATCGAGGCTTATTGCAACTTCAGAAGTGTTGTAATATAGTACGTGTGTGTGTATTATTTATTTATATATATATATTAAACGACTGCCACAAATAATCATTCACATTCTAAAATGAAACTTACACCCTACATAACTTTCCTGGTTTAAAAAAAAAAAAAAAAAAACTTCAAATTGGCAAATTGTTTCATGTTGATCATTTAAAGCTTAAACAAATGGTATATATATATAAGCAAGCCAAAAAGTTTGAGAGTTAGGGTTTTTGGGTGAACCATTTGTTTAAGCTTTAAATGATCAACATGAAACAATTTGCCAATTTGAAGTTTTTTTTTTTTTTTTTAAACCAGGAAAGTAATGTAGGGTGTAAGTTTCATTTTAGAATGTGAATGATTATTTGTGGCAGTCGTTTAATGCGAGTGACTCATTTCTGGTTTTTGGATTATTGTCCCACCCTTGCCTTGGTGCATGTTTTAAGAAAATGGACCGATAAATCATAACGCAGTAATATTCCATAAAAAAAATAAGAAACATGGTGACTTTAAGGATGTAACTTGATTATATCTATTAAATGTAGTGTCATTCAACATAATGTTATTCCTATCTTTATAGGTTGTTACCAGCCAAGAGGACAGCTGGCAAATGTGTAATCTTAGCGGTGTGAACATTCGGTGCCAAATTAAAGTGACTTCATTGAACATGTAACACAATCACTATAGCGCCTGTGAGACAAATGCATGTGTGTCATTGTGTCGCATTAAGATTAATGTTTAAAAATGTAATTGCTTTGGACAGGTTTTATTGAATAAATCAATCAATCCTGTGAGATCTAAACAAGGTTACTGATAAATAAATTCTTTGCATGTATTGTACATTTAAGTCAGGTGCCATTTAAAGTGACAGTTCAAAACTTGGGGACCTTCAAAATGTTCCAACCTTTTCAGGTTCTTCAAATAGCAATGAGATAAAGAATAATGTATTGTTGAACGATGATGAAATACATTTATTACAATCCAGTAGGAATGGCTTCGATGTGTGCATTTACAAGAATTCACTAATTCTGCTCAAAGAGGCCATCAACACTTGCACATTATACATCTCCCTTATGTTTAATTCAGCTCATTAGATGGGTGTGCAGTGACCTGAACAGGGTGTCTTTACACAGTTAATGCTGCTGTGTGTCAGCTCAAAATTCAGTGTGAAGACGCAATGCTGCATAAAAGCCAGACTAAAGTGAGGTCTGCCCACCTCAGCCCCTACTATAAAATACACAGTAATTGCCGAGGCTCAGCAAACGTATTCGTTGAAAACCCCGACAGAGGGCGCTCGACTCAAACCTCTACTTGCATTCAAAAGAAACCCAAAGCCATGCTCAGTCACCAGCGCTGCGTTTCAATACATATTTTCCGACTTCTACACGCTATATATATATATTTTTTAATTATTATTGCAAAAACACACATACAGTAAGGCAATACAAGCTCGTAAAAAGATCCTCAAGAACGGAGCACCAATCCAGCACGGGAAAAAAACACGAAGAGAGAAAAGAAAGAAAGAAAAAGAAGAATTACACAATAGGGTCTTCTAATAGTTAACATTTCTGCAATAAACTAAACAGTCTTCTTCCAGTTTTACATTTTAACAGTCTTACAGATTTACAGTACATCCAAAATTCCTTCTGAAAAACAGACAACAATGGCTTCGTTTTAAGGCCCTTTCATTTATGAATATAAATGAGAATATTATTCAGAACAACTTGAGTATGTACATCTTCCATTATTAAAGCACAAATGATATCATTTTGGAATGGATCCGAGCAAAAGCCTACTGAAGGAAGTCAGAGAGTAACTGTACAGTCGTTTCAACTTCATCACAAAAGGTACAATGACTGTGATCAATATTAAATCTATATCTACGAAACTCTAAAGCTGGGTAGATAGCACTACAATGTTTAAAGTGTACTTCCTTGGCTTTGGGGGGAGGTGGTGGGAAAGGAGAGATACGTGGTTCTTCATTTAAAAATAGAGCTCTTGGGAAAAAGATAGACTAATTCACGTTATTTCGACTAGCTTGATTTGGACTTTTATTTTGGGTCAATAAAGTCCTTTTGAATTTATTTGGCAGGCTACTCCTAATAAAAGCTTGCCTATTTATTATACTTCTACATGCTTTATAAGCAAAATATTTATAGAAATAACTTTTTGAAGAATTTTTTGCAACCTCGTTATCCTTACCTCAGAACCACTAACCATACGCCACGCTGGCGTGTCTTGTCATGTTTCTCGCGAGGTTAGTCTTCGGCTCCGCTCAGTCTGTGCTGGTCTGTGCTGGCTTGTGCTGGTCTGTGCTGGCTTGTGCTGGTCTGTGCTGGCTTGCGGTCAGCTCCTCGGCTCGGGGCGGCACACGCCATGTCCGCGAGGGCTGTGGGGCTGCGCGCGGCAGAGCAGCTTCCGGTCGCAGTCGCAGCGCTCCAGTCTCCTGCGGGATTTGGTGCGTCCCCGCACTACATGCTTTATAAGCAAAATATTTATAGAAATAACTTTTTGAAGAATTTTTTGCAACCTCGTTATCCTTACCTCAGAACCACTAACCATACGCTACGCTGGCGTGTCTTGTCATGTTTCTCGCGAGGTTAGTCTTCGGCTCCGCTCAGTCTGTGCTGGTCTGTGCTGGCTTGTGCTGGTCTGTGCTGGTCTGCGGTCAGCTCCTCGGCTCGGGGCGGCACACGCCATGTCCGCGAGGGCTGTGGGGCTGCGCGCGGCAGAGCAGCTTCCGGTCGCAGTCGCAGCGCTCCAGTCTCCTGCGGGATTTGGTGCGTCCCCGCAGCAGGCACACCTCGCCCAGCGCCGGCACGCGCTGACACCTCTTCCCCGTCAAGTAGAGCGCGCAGCACAGCCCGTCCTCACAGTCGCGCGAGCGCACACACGGGGACATCTCGGGCGCTGCGGGCGGAGAATCACCGCGAGGGTCAGTGGGTCAACTAAAGTACTCAGTGCAGTCAAACCTGAAGGCCTTGAGTTTTTCTTAAAGGTGCAGTGCTGTGGCCGAAGGCGTCACGTGCGCTTCCGAACGAGCCGGGAAAGTTTCTAGTTTGAAAAGGCTTTTTTGTTTTGTGACTTTTAAACATTCTGTTAAGCAAACGATGTGTTTAAGGCAAAGGCAAATTTGTCGACAGGTTTACAGTTTAATTTGTCATCAAATACAATTTAATGCACACATTTCTACAAATACTCATTTCCAATTTTCAATTATCAGTTGTCTTCTACATAAAATCGCGGTAAATGAAAACCCTTCTGACACAAAACATTAGACGGAGGCGTAAAAAGAAGACCTTGCTATTTAAGAGTTCACTTTTCAGATTGTTGATGTCATTTTGACTGGTTTTTTATTTATTTATTTAATAACGAATTAATTAAAAAGGTGAAAAATATGATGGTGACAACCTGAGGAAACAACTTAAATTCGATGTAATATATTTATATTCTGTATTCTTAGATTTAGGACAAAAATGCTTTTTTTCCTCATAAATTATAACTTTTTTTTTTTTTATTACATGTCACACTTAATATGAAAATTGCTTACCAGCCACAACGTCGTCCTGCTTTATCAATTCACTTTTAGGAACTGTTCATTCTGACTTAACAGTTTGATAATTTGTCATTTTAATCTCTGTGCTTATTGTACTGTAATACCCTGTTGTTGACACAGCAAAATACACCTGTGCAGAGTTTTTACAGCTGAAGCAGACAGTGAATGTATGTTGCTAATGTTTCCCATAATGTCTGTCCTGGCCAGCACAGGGAAAATTACTAATAGTCAATAATATAGCAACACTTGACCAAAGGTATGACCCAAAAACATGATTTAAAAAAAACCCATAAAACCCGATCCTTACCTTTTTGACTTCCTCGCACATCCAACTGAACCTGTGTCTTGGCAGAATTGAGCTGTTTCTTCTTTGAGCCTTTGCATTCAGTTGCCTTGTGAAAGACAGAATGTAAATAAAGACAGCTTAAATATTCTGAAAAATTGGGATTGCAAATGGTTGGATGCAACTTCAGTAGATTACAATACTGAACCAAACAAAATCGTACTTGTGCAGCGGTGCAGTCTTGTGCAGGAGGTGAAGCTGTTCTGATTCCCTGCACAGCTGAGGTCCTTCTAACAGAATTATGGGAATTTGCAACTGTGTCACTCTGTAGATGCAATACTGACTGGAAGAGATTGTCAGACAGAAGAAGTGACAACAAGTAGAGTGATTCTGTTTTTAAAGATAGTCACATGCATGCATGCATGCACATATACAGTATATATATAAGCAAAATAAATAAAAATTAAGGTTTAAGAATATAAATTCTTACCTCTTGAGAGTTTGTCATTTCTCTGGAGGAGCGGATAATGTTGGAATCCAGGCACTGTACAGCAGAAACAACAGACAGCCAAAACATGACATAAACTGTCTGCATGGTTGTATCCAAACTGTCCTGACCGCAATGAGGCTGTGTGCAAGAGCAAGACGTCGAGCTCTAGTGTGGAAGAGCAACCTGCTCCGTGTTTTAATGGACCTACGGCAATTACCCTAAACATGGAAAAAAAAAAATAAGAAAAAAGAAAGAATGGGTCTTTCATTAGTGGTTACTTTCTGAGTGTTTCAGTGTTTATAGTCTCAGCTCATGTAGGAAGTGTGTAGTGAATTGCGGTGGTAATTAAGGCAAATTATGGCCCATACGCATAACAAACATGAAAGCTTGGCTGTACCTTTCATGGCACGTAAATCCTCATAGACCCTTTACACATGTAACACCTTTGAAACTTGTTATGATGAAAAATATGACATCCTTTAAATGACAGCCATCAGTTAACCGCATCAGTAGACTCGGATGTAAGTTGCTTCCTGGAACGGAACAGGTGATTATCTGCACCTTGAATGCTGGCTTAGAGGGGGAAACTCAAAAACCACGTTTCTCACCGGGCTGGGAGGCAGATAATAACAGTGACACTACTTTGTTTAACCAATGTGAATATGTTTAGCCACTAAATAAAAATGTCTTGTTCAGCCTAAACATTCTTGTCGTGTCAACTACAGATTTATTGTTTAGCAAATTATCAATTAGCAACAAGTTGTTTTAATTTGTCTTAGCCTAATTCTTACATACAGCTTTACATGACCTGTGATCTTTGAAATCTTGTAGAACTAACTATCTGTAGAACTGTAGATCTATCATCTATCTATCTATCTATCTATCTACATGGCCAGCAGCTATGTCACCCTGTAGCCCAAGCTTGGTTGCCCACTGAAGCTAAGCAGGGTTGAGCCTGGTCAGTACCTGGATTGGAGGCCTCCTGGGAAAACTAGGTTGCTGCTGGAAGAGGTGTTAGTGAGGCCAGAACCCCGGCATCCTGGCCAAATTTGCCCATTGGCCTCTGATCATCATGGCCTCCTAATCATCCCCATACACCGATTGGCTTCATCACTCTGTCTCCTCTCCACCAATAAGCTGGTGTGTGGTGGGCGTTCTGGTGCAATATGGCTAACATTGCATCATCCAGGTGGGGGCAGAGCTTTCGACCAAAAAATTTAAGTTTAAGTATCAGTTAGTTGTGCAAATCCAAAGGCTCACCTCAATGCACCAACCTACTTTACAGTAGTTGTTCTGAATAAACACTAATCACCCGAATGGTAACGAATGGAAACAAAATGTAACTTTTTTAACAAAATGTATTCTAAATATTATTAATTCTGAATAATAAATATGTACATTACATGTCTTTATAATGCTTCACCAAAACACACATTATTCAATGGCAAGGTATTATGGGTAGCCTGTTTATTTGAGCCTCTTGACCAAACTTGACATTGTAAGTTATTGCTATTTAACATTATCTAATGTCAGCTGTGTGAACTGTTTTACATGTTTGTTTGTTTTTTACTTTTCCAGAAATGTCAGCTATATTCCTACAGAATTGTTCTATACGAATCTATACGAAGGTAGGATTCCATTTTAAACCAACAATACAATTTCCTCTAATTAAATGAAATGATTCCTGTCAGAACTGGTTGTGTTTTCTTTATGTGTGTGTGTGTGTGTGTATGTGTATTTGTGCTGAACAGAAAGCAGGTGATGGAAGATCACCCATCAGTCTTCAAACCCTCAGGCTGATTTACAAATGTACTGGTCATGTACTTGAGTCATTATTTTTATAGTTTAATATTTTCATTTGTATTTTAAAGTTTTAGCAATTTTGTTGTCTTTTGCTACTTTCCTTAGGTTTTTTTTATGCCTATATTGCTTTTAAGTTTTAATTTATTTACTTTTATTCAACATTTATATTTTATGCGTTTATATTTTATTTCAGTTAATCTAAATTTTATTCGAAGTAATCATAGTTCATCATATTAAGTGTTTTACCTGAAAGCCTGAGTAATTATATGAGGTTATATTGTGTGTGTGTGTGTGTTGGGATATTTGAATTACCAGAGATGGCACAGGGCAAAGGTGAAATCTGTTGAGTCATTTAACATTTTCCATAGATGTTCAGTGGCTGAATGGATTAACATTACACAGGAAATGAAACTGACACAGGCAGAAAACAGAACCATATGATCACAGGTTATGATGCATCTGTAACAGAAATGCACTGTCACTCTATTGCTCTTGTATACAGACTTTTGATATTATTGTGAAGACTTTAGCGTGGCACATAATGAACAATCACCATTTCATAGTGCAGCGATTAGGTTGCTGACTGAGCAGTATTCACAAGTGAAAAGTAGCAGCGGCTGCTGATTGTGTGTGATGAGTCTAGGAGAGATCACAGATAAAGGCTCATTGTGATGAAAAGAAGCCTGCAGGTCATTCACCTACCCAATAAAGAGCAGCAGATGCACACAATTACTCTTGCTATGACGCAGTGTGAGTGTACGTGTGCATGTCTGTATATTTCCTCCAAAAGATCCCTCAACAGATCACATGCAGGTGGCCGTGGACACAGACACCTCCCTCCCTCCAGCAACAAGTGACCCCTGCATCACACACACCTGCACTGGAGAAGAGAATGCATCCTAAGGTAAGACTAAATTTAAAAGTATTGCTTAAGGTATTTCTTTTACATAAAAAGCAATAATTTGATTCATTAATCACTTTCATATAATGTCTTGATCGAGAGACTGATTAAGGACTACAGATCGTTACCTGATGTCAGACAATTGTGTTTTATGATGATTTTTCTTACTTTCATTATTAAATATTATGGAGGCGCGTTTCAAAATACATGATTAGTAGTGTCCAAAATACTAATAGGTTAATGGGTAAAGGTTAAAACCACACAGAAAACCCTCTCTTTAAGAAGTATTGAAACTTTGGAACACAAAATGATGATTTTGGCAGGTTAAGTGATAGCTGGTTAAGAGAATAGGGAGTTAACTAATGTTGGCAACATGTTGCACACGGGTGTTGACTTGTGGATCAGCTCTTATTGTATGTGCTTATAACAGGACGGGACAGGAACAGAGTGGAAATACTACAAAATTCACTTCGGATTTTTCAAAGGAACCGAAAAGCAGAACACTACTCAACTGCACGAATTAAGAATAAATTAATTATTCTGAATTAATCTATCATCAAAAGTTATGTACTTACCAGTGCTGCATTTATTTGACCAAAAATACACAAAAAACAGAAATATTGCGAAATATAAATGTAGGTTAATAACAACTGTTTTATATTTAAAAATATAATTTATTTCTGTGATCAAAGCTGAATTTTCAGCATCATTACTCCAGTCTTCAGTGTCACATGATCCTTCAGAAATCATTCTAATATACTGATATTGCTGCTCAAGAAACATTTATTATTCTTATCAATGTTGAAAACAGTTGTGCTGCTCAATAATTTTCAATAATTATGAAGACTTTACTGTCCTTTTTGATCAATTGATGCACCCTTGCTGAATAATAATATTGCATTTCTTAAAATAAAATGAAATGCATACATTAAATGACCCCAAACTTTAGAAAGTGTAAATTAATAAAATGTTAGCATTAGCATTCATCCCAGCATATGACAGAAGTACATTATCTTTGAGTTATGTACACAAGAAAAGAAATTCCCATCAAAAACACAAAATGCTGCTCTTTTTCACAAACTAAATTGATAAGACATTGACAGGCAAAGATAAAAGGAGCGTTCTGAAACACTGAGGCCGTTCCTCATGTGCCCAGCTGTAATCATTTTGTTGAAACTCAATCACACAGCACGTAATTCCTGCCCTGGAGCAAAGAGCTCATCTAGAACATACCTGTCCTCAAGCCCTTTTACACATTCTAGAAGACTGCACAGGGGCCTGAGTACTGGTGACTACATTTTGGGTCCCTACTGGATATTGGTTGGATGTCAATAAGAGCAGTAAGTTCTCAAACGTTTTAGGCCATCTCTGATCAAACATATTTTTAAATGTATAATGTCACCATAATGTCATTTTGTAATTCATAATATATCATTGGGTTTAGATAAATCATGGTGCTGCAAGATGCTTATCGTCCATTGACTTGCCATTTTTAAATGGACCCTATCAAAATAACATGTGAAAAACACCATAGTTTATATATTGTTTTTCTGTGGAAGAATTGAGTATTTCCAGGTGTTAATAATGCACAGTTTGCAGTCCAATTCAAACATGTTTTAAAATAAGAGGTAATGTATCCTTGTAATGTGCATGCATCTGTTTAGACTTCTATTTTCTTTGGGTAACTTCCGACCAGATTTTGGAAAAGATACTGTTAATACCACTTCTTGGTGCCAGGCTTGTGTACACAAGCAAACAAGCAAACCTCAAACTAGCAACTGAGGATCTAACATCTAAATAAACACAATAAATGCAGTCTACAGTAACTGCTCCATGTAACAAAAGTTCCATCTGTGTGTCAAATTTGAGTCTGAAAAAAGAGAAACATTTAAAGCAGGCTAAAATAGTTTTAAAATTATTATTATAAATATATGAATCAAATTTGTACATTTTCTAAGATTTAGGCCCTCAGTCATACTCAGTGATAGGATGCAATGGAGTTAAAGGCCTCCAGAATCCAAAATCCAAATTTGGATCTGTCTCATTTTTTTAAGTTTGAATCATTGATTCTGTTATTTTCCTGTTAAATACTATGAAACTACAGTATTTTGAAACACTCTGTATTGTATCAAGCTCTGTATAAATAAAGATGACTTTACGTGACTTAAATTATTATACAATGTATGAGATATGTGTCATGGTTTCCACAAAAATATCAAGTACAACTGTTTTCAATGTTGATAATAATAATAATAATAATTCAATCTCCTGTTCCACCAAATGCCAAAGCTGCTGTTTTGGATTGAGATCTGGTGAATGTGGAGGACATTTGAGTTTAGTGAACTCATTGTCATGTTCAAGAAACCAGTCTGAGATGATCTGAGCTTTGTGACGTTATCCTGCTGGACATCATTGATTC